AAAAATATATATTGGGAATAAAGTAAAATTGTGTGAGATATAAAGCATGAAACTACATCAGAATAAAAATACACAGTTATCAAGTTCTCCCCCCCAGAAGTGAGGCCAGTATAAATACTGGTCTATACACAAAATATAGCCAACAGATGTCAGCACTGAACCACATTTTGTATACCACGTGGACCAGCTACTACTGTATGTATACTAACAAGAGTGTTAAATCTACACTTTTTTTAAAAAACAAAACTATTTTCTATACTTATTGAAATACTTGCTTCATCTTTATAACACAGTAGATATAAAAGCTTCAATTCCATAACCTTGGTTGTCTGACAACACATAATACGGAATTTAAATCATAATGCAAAGCTAAAAGTTTGTACTAGTACATAAAACAAGTGCCCATTTGTGATTATGTTTCCACATGCATGCTATGGCAACCCAGGGAACCTTCAAAAGTTTGCTGTGCAGACATCAGTAAAAGACATACCTCTAGCAGCTTGGAAGTAGTTCCGTAACTCCTTTTGTAGTTTGGCAGCAGTAGCCTACAATATAAACATAGGTACATAAACACACAGCCTATACATATAATTCTTCACAAGATCAATACATCAACATAAAAGACGTTATAGTCATTTCTGATAAAATCTGATAGAATCAAATTCTTCTTACAGTCTTACAATGTATTATTTATTGAGGATCCTATCCCTCCCAACAGAGGGGAGGGTGATAGGATTTTCTTCTTTCTTTTTTTCTTTCTTTTTTTTTTGTAGTTTTGTGTGTGTGTGTGTGTGTGTGTGTGTTGCACATATCATATGACACACAATTCCACAGTTTATTTGGCACTTCATTAAACAAGATCTACATAAGATACACAGTTTATGTTATCAGAGGATTGCATATTCCAAATGAAGGGAAGGTGTGTTCACATCAGGTCTAAATCAAACAAGATGCTGACTAAGTGATGTCAACTGACAACATAACATTATAATATGATAACTTATAAGGGTAATTATCTAAAAATTTACAACACCTCAGTCTTCTCTTTTTTAAATATTTTCCTTCATCAAGGTTTCTTTTATGACACTCACAAAAATGTACTTTCAAAAAATCCACTTCTTTCCAAAATTTTGGAACACTGACTTATTTTCACAATGACAAACTATCTGACAAAAAAATATAAGGGGAGAGTGATTAATTATTGCCATTAAAATGTATTGGCCAATTACAGTATATCAAGATACATAGTTGCCTTGTCACTGCTTGATATCAGTAAGTCTTATTTTTACCCAAAGTTAACCTGGTTGTGAACATGCCCAGCTGTAACATGAACCTGAACACAAAGCAGGACCTATCTCTTACTACACTACAGAAATCAAATCCTGGATTCCTGAGTTTAAAATACCAATAAAAAATGTCTCTTTGTCGGTGTGTAACACGATATAGCGTGAGTAAAGTAAACTACTTTATGTGATACTACCAGTATTGTGATATTTCAGCCTCTGTCAACAAACTTCAAGCAAAGAGAAGTCACATCCCTACAGTAAATGTTCAACAATATTGAAAAAAGTAAAATAATAATCTCCCTCCTTAAAATAGTTTTGTTAGTTACACATTAAACTGACTCAAAAGTTTTGATAAGTTGGCTAACTTTGTGTCAGAAAGTACAGGGCCATGAGTGCCTGAAAATGATACATCTTGAAAAAAAACATTTGAAAAAAATAAAGTGCTTAAAAATTCCAAGTAATTACCATAATAGATTACATATAAAAGGAAGGAAAAGGGTGGACACTTGATATAATATGTCAACATGAAAGGGTGATAGTGGAAGAGGAAGATTAAATTGAAATATTGAGCCTCCTTGTTACATGGCACTGAGCATGGTGTGGGGTATAAAACTGTGACATTCAGTAATGGTCCATTGAAAGCCACCCTTGATACTGCCAAAAAAAAACAACAACAACAATATCTGAGTTTACCCTTTTTTCTAAAGATCCAGAAAAAAAAAACTAATTTTGACTAAAAGTTTTAAGAAAAAATGCACAAGTTATTAGAAAATTGTCTTTTAAAACTCCCATAATAGACTAATACAAACTTGATGATGATACAATTCCTTCAGATAATGAAATTTGTAAAAGACTTCACACATTCCTGTACCTAACAATACAAAATGAAAGGACAACATACAAGTCAGTTTTCCTTGTCACTGGCACTACCCACTGCACCCAATTCATTCCTTTATCTATTAATTACCTGTTCTTATTAATTAACTGACTCTAATAAAATGTATCAACTTGTATTTACCTGCTGGCGAGCAAACCTCTCCACATGGCCGTCCAGTAAGTCGTCTGTGGTCTTGTCTGCCTTGCCCAAGTTTTGTAGAACCTGAAATGTACATCTTAATTATAAATATCACACATCACACAACACATCACATTAAAGGAAGAATCTGTTGCCAGCATACAAGCAAGTTTGTGACTGTAATGTGTTCACAGAATAAGAGACAAAATCAGTAAAATAAGTCTTCTGATGTATCTTGTATAAAGAAATTAAAATGTTCTAAGGGCATTCCATGGCATTTGCTTTGCATCATGAAAAGAATTTTGACTTTTTGAAGTTATATTTTAGAGAATTCTATTTAAAGAGATGAAACATCTTTTTGAAACCTTTGAAACATTTAATTTGATTATGCTTTAACCCTTCATCCAAGGGGAATTGATCACAGAACTGACTCATTGCTTTGAGCTCAGGAAATAAGGATGTCACCATAGGAAAGAAGGGAGACCCAAATAGTATAGCTCCAAATTGGGAGCCTGTGTGAATGCGCCTTTTAACACTTCAGACGGCTCAGACAGGCGACATGACTAACTGCTCTCTGACATGCTATAAAAGAGGAGACAGAGGCCACATGCAGCTAGATATAAGTACAGGGTGTAGCACTAAACACAGAACTATATCATTCTATTTCTATATATTCTATTCTACTGTCTTCTTTTATATCTAATAAGAATAACCACTTCATTCTGTGACCAATAATTTGTAATGAAGTATTCTGACACTGCATTGACAACCTACAAATGTGACACACACACAGAAAATTAACATTAAATTTCATAATTTTTCATACTATAATATAATTGAATATTTTTTTTTGCTCTTTCTCTCTCTCTCTCCTTCTGCTACCAACTCTGAAAATCACGCACCCAATTCCAAGATAAAACTTTCTCCCAGGGAGTCAGAGAGAGAGAGAGAGAGAAAGAGAGAGAGAAAGAGAGAGAGATGATACTGACAAGAGACCCAAGTATAACTGCTAATTGACACCTATATTGATGACAGAGAGAGATACAGGTCAGTATATATATACTACAGTGTCATTGCCCTTATTTCTCCACTCCTACCCATTACTCAGTGAAATGCTTTCAGACTTTAAATCTTAATGGAGTCACAATCAAAATTTTAACATTATTACTATAATTATTGCGAATACTGCCACATCTGCAACCCACTATACTATATCAATTTGGTGACTAACCATGTGAAAATGCATCATTTTTTCCTTTCTTGGACAATAAAAAAATACTTTATTTAATATTAAAACAAAGTTAATGTTTCATCAGATTATAAATTAATAAAATATTATACAAACTCCTCAGTAACAAAGCCAGAAATATATGCGACAATATAAAATACAAGACTGACATTTTATTATCACATAACATTTTAATGCCTGCCTATAAAATTTATAGTAAGATAATTCAGGAGTCACTCTGAATGGGTAAACTGGTAAATGCTATGGGTTTAATAATTATGGAAAGTGGGGAAATTTTGTAGTTACAGGCCATGAGCCAGACTCCAGTTTTTGACAATCAGCACAGTAACAGACACGTAAGAGACATGTACTAGAGAAGGCTATCACATATACTTGGACACTAGAGACATAGGGCTTTGTGATTTCCTTTTTTTCCCTTTTCTTTTTGTACTGACAAAGTGTCTTGTCCATGGACCATTATTATAGCTATAAACCCTCCAGGCAGTACATACCAATGTAACTGTACACCTCAAGATGAAGAAAGCATGGTTGCCCACACAATACCAGACAATACAGATTACAGCTTTACTGTAACAGTACCATTACATAACACAAGAGGCCACCACTGCTGTGGACTGTTCAGACTGGAAAAAATTTAGACCAGTTATAGAACAAAGTTGGGTCATAAGACAAGAAACCCCACGGCACCTCAGGCACCTGAATCCCAGGAAAATCAAGCTGGTTCTGTTATGGTGACAGTTAGCCTGATTTTCGGTCCAAGCAGACCTAGTCTAGACACACCTGTTTATAGCAAAAGAAACCCCCCCCCCCCCCCCCCATGACTGCCATGTGCCTGAATGACTAAATCTTAGTTCCAATATTTGCATTTTTCTGGGACCACACTTGAATACAAGCCATAACATTGCTGAAAAACTTCCAGCTAAGAAGTTCAAATTCCATTCTCACAATGATACTGCAATTTTTTCCCGGATTTCAATTTTTCAGACATGAATTTTTTCAAAGTGGTCATGTGCACATGACTTTTTTTTTTCTAATCTGCCTGATGTGACTTCAGCTTTGATGTTAGCATTTCAAAGATGTTCCAAAGACCTTTTACACAAATAACAATAACAGGCTTAAGATGTGGGGGACACTTTTAAGTTAAAATTAACAACATTTCAGTTCAGTTGCCGCACAGTTATGTAATCATAAAGGCAATTACTATTGTATCAGTACTGATAAAGGTGGGGACCCGGGAATTCTACGACCTTTGCTGCTATTGAACTTCACTCTCATTACTGTTCACTACAATCTCCTGTTGTCATTGTAATTTGTATCATATCAACACAAACAATTCACCCTATCTTGTACAAAATAACCCAGAGATAACAGCAGTGAATGGACTGGTAAGGAAAAGGAATTCATAAATTTCCAGCAAAAGTTATTAAAAAGAACTGCCAACACTATAGTAAGAAACAAACTGAGAAAGTACCACATGCAAATGCTTATATATTATCAAAATAACCTCAAAATATTGAAGTATCCCATATTTTTATTATAATGTGTGTCTATAATATATCTATAATACAAGAACTTCATCAGCTCCTATGCTAAAGTCACAAAACCATGTCATTTCAACATGATTGATGGACCAGAGGTATTCAGATATTAGCATAAACATTTCAATAACCCTTTCAAATTTTCACTCATATATGACTCTAATGGTATTAAGATGCACTTTCTGTTGTACAGGGAGATGATTAAGGATACACCAACTGTATTACATCTTCCTTCCTCAAACAGTCACTCTGATACAGAAAACCACTTTGTTCTTCCAGTAACGGTAACCAAGGATATCATTCCTTTGTCCAACATTACGGGTAGCAAAAATGCCTGTTCCAAGTAATATCACCTTAGATTACAAAATAGACTGCTGTCATGTCCTACCCAGATTAACTAGGCAGAGATTTCACTGTATGAAGCAGAATGGGGTCTCGTCATACCCATTACCACAACACACCCCATTTCTCCACACACCTTCTGAGACAACAATAGCTCCAAGCAATCCTGTAAGAAGTTGTACATGGCTTCACTTATTCATTTATCACAATTCTAAACAGTGAGAGACTTTCATTTATAATATAATGTGATGTAGTTTTTATCCTGCCAGAAAAAACTTAATTTGAAACACCAATCTTAGTACAAATGTCCCAAACTCTGTTATGACATATGATAATAAAACATACCAAAACTTTCCGAAACAATGCCTTTACATTTCATGTTCATTATTTCTAAGAACTGTAAGCAAGTTATATGGTATCACATACATAATGAAATCAATATCAAGCCTGTGTGTGTAACAATTTAGTCAATTACAAGACCATTATCTAATTGTCTACACATTGGTGTGTTATTATAATTGGCAATGTAATCTGTTCTAGTACTCGGGTGCTGTTGGCAGTCAAGACAATTCAGAGAACTCAGATCACCCCAAGTCTCAAAACTCACAAGAAACCACTTTACTCTGATACGACATAGGTTTTACACACTCACAGGGGTTGCAGTCAAACTTCTGCTTGATAAATTGTAAATAAAACTATTCTTGGCTAAAACTAATATAAATGCTACCCTTGCAATTTTAAAAGGTGTCTTACTCCTAGCAAACCAGTTGTGTTGTGGCAAACAATGATCATTCTTTGGTTTAATTATTTATTTGTATTTATATCACCATCAATATATATTTGTTTTTTGTTTTTTTTTGGGGGGGGGGAGTACAAGCCTGTTCTATTTCTATCAGTGTTATATTTCAACCAAATCTTACAAAATCATATTCAAAAATACCAGCAATTCATTCATTATGTGCATAAATGCAACTTTCAGATTAGCATTTTGTCATCACACCATCACAAGCAAAGATCCTACAGCTTTCTAGGCACGTTTTTAAGATTAATTAATAAAACTCCCCCATGATAGCCCATTATTAGGGCACATTTAAGCCCCAAAGGTTGTTTCTCCAAGGCATATTGCATTTTGATGAAAAATTCCCCACATTATTTTGCATAGAATAACATACTATCCAGAGATACTTTCCTAATAGACAACTCTCCTAATTATTTCAATACCATTCCAATTCAATAACTGTGTAACTAATAATCACATCAAATATGTATTTGTTTACATGTTCTCATGTTTGCTCATAAACAGCTGGTAATAACACTCACTGTACAGAATGGACACAGACCATTAGCTTAGAAAACCAATCACCTGTGTCATCTAATCCATTATTTAGGTCTATGTGGCAGAAGTAGGCTTCATATGAGGTATTATTAAGAGGTAATGTCGCCCACTAACTGAATTATACTCATAGGCAGATGATTAATATTCAAACAACATCACCAAGCTAGGTCTAAACCATTAAACAACATCTTTTGCTTTTATGTATTATATAACCTACTTTTCCATTTCTTTCAAAAAAAAGTTTGTTCTATTTGTTTAGTCATTTCACTTCTAAAAAAAGTGAGATTCACTTCTTTAATAAAAGTGTAAGTACTGATGTATAACAAACCAGGGTCTATTAATCTGGAAATTAAAATAAGTCACTGAAGGTGGAGAAAAGGAAAAGCATGCACTAGATATAAATTAAGCTTAATTACATGTTTGGGTAGGGTCTCTGACTGGTGTATTTACAAGCAGTTATCAGTGCATGTTATATACTAAATTATGAGTACAAGTATAATAAATCATTAATAAAGGCTAATCATTAGTACATCAAGCTGATTATTAGTACAAATTGAATCATTAGTAGATACTTAATCATGTTACATGTTAAACATTATCAAAATAAGATAAATCTAAATTTTGCTTGTAAACGTGTCTTGATTTATATACTTCAGAGTGTACTGGGGAATTTTACTGCTTTTTATACAGTAATAGCTTACAGCAAATACTGGGACATAACTGAGTCAGAATTCAACCTCATGAAATCAGTGAATATCATGAATAATTGCATCGCTGAAACAGATGTTCTATCAAAACTGTGCATCAAACACTTGTTGGTCTTTTAATTGCTAATCTATTTAACTACTTGTCAGCAAAGTGAGTGAACAAACAAGTGCAGTCTGAATGTAAATGGGACATTTAACAGTTGGTCAGCAGTTGTATCTACTATTAGTTAAGTGTTAATGGTTTTTTTTCAACTACTATTTGATATGGGAAATCTGGCTATAGAAATATTTTCTGGACAATCTGCAATATGAGGACGAACAAGTACAGGTCTAAAATTAAACTAAAATGTACAAATTAACAAGATTGACTAGATTTGGGAGAGTGGGTCACTTTTAAAAAAGTACTGGCCAGACTACTAGAGATCCTTTGGTCAGTGTAATATATCTATCCTGTTTTTGTGTCCTTCAAACATCTAAAAATAGGAAGTAAAAAGGGAATTTAATTAATCACCTTACTAGTACAGTGCCCATTTATTGTCTGGAAAAGCTAACAGATAACAGATTTAAGAGAAAGTCATGCACCTGGCTATGTAACACTGAGACAGTTATCAAAGCATCTTTTAAGTACATTCCAGCAGTGGTCATTCTTTACACTGCCACTGGTCACGATATTATATATAACTGTATACACTTATCAAAGAAAAATACCTGACTGCCCGAGCTCAATACAGTCCAGCTATGTTTGCACTGAGTTCTTAGCATGCCCTGTTAGCCTTAAACCAACTGAAATTGTAAATGTTCACTGAACCATGTGTTTCGACTTTGTGCTGGTGACCAAACGTGGCATTCCTGACTCCCAAATGGACACCTAGCATCAAATGTTGTCAATTTCTGCCAAATCCAATAGTTTTACTTCTTTGGTAGCTTCATATTGATGATTTCCATCAAATACATTCCTATTACTTCTGATTTAATGATTTCATTCACAATGTAGTGAAGCTATTTACCAGATTCTTTATTGACAAACACCTTCACATAAAGGTACAATCAATTACAATACGATACTAGTGGCTAGAACATAGAACAGACAAATAAATAGATAAATAAATATATATTTACATATAGATTAGCAATTGTTGAAATCAGTGACTGTACACATGTATACGAATGTCGCATTCCATAATCAATTTACCAGGTTTGATCTACACGCCCAGTCTCTGCTGACAGCGCATAACGGGTCTCACACTGGTACTATGATCTGGTTTGGACATGCGCAGAAAGACTTACTCTCTTCTCCATGCATTTCTGTACAAATATGAGGAGGGGCGTAATCACATCCATTTCTTTTGTATTCATGATGTGTATAAACATATCCGGGGGAGAGAGGGCATTAGTATTACATAGGAAACTTATATTTTCGTAGAAAGCCGCCCGTAGTTCCTTATAGGCCTCGCATTTCAGAATAAAATGCACTTCATCTTCAACCTCTCCGGAATTACAGA